TTTTGTTGTGATTAACTTGATAACATGTTGCTTATATTCCTAGTGATAAATTAAGTCGTTCAAACTCCATAATGCAAATCTGCTGACCTCATGAAGTTGCTGTAATGAAGCCACAGCAGCTACTTAACATCCTTCCAGCTTAAATTTATTAAGCTAAATGCAGGGCCTCTGCTGTGATGAAATTAAGGTGGCTGTAATATTTTCAGAGAGCAGCAGCCATCTTTCCCAAACACACACGCTGCAGTGAATCCTTCCAGCATCTGGAGAAGCTCAAGCTGTTACAGTTGCTTACCCACAAGCAGAAGGGGTGATTATGTGATGCATAACTTGTAGTATCCCGTTGCTTCCAAGCAAATCTGCATCCTGCCTCCTCACCATTGCTAAGAAATAAGCGATCTAACGTTTGGAAGAACATCTGAAAGGCAGCAGAACAGATGCTGCTGGTCAGTCTGGCATTTGGCAGTAACTCGGCCTTGTTTTAAAAAAGGAAATAAAAGGTCCCCCTCCCATCCTTAGGTATCTTTACAGTTCTACCAGATTGTTTTCCATCTTAGCTGACAGTGTTCTCTTTAACAGAGCAGAAATAGGTGAATCCCGTCAACTTTCATAGCATTTTTAAAACCATGTGAAAGAAAAATAAGCTAACTACAGGGATCTGAGCCAGCCTGGGCCTGAAGTTGCCTATCACTTACCTGAGCTTTCTTAAATCTAACTTAAAGGCGTCTGCCTCATTAAATGGAATGAAAAGTCGGAGTCAGTAAGGCAGACGTTTAGAAAAAAACCAAAGTTACAAAGAAGAACTGGCAGGTGTTGTATGACCTTCCTTGGTTCCTCCTTGGAACCTGCACGCCACGTAGGTTACCCGGTTCTCTGCCCGCACCCTAGAATTACTCAGCTAAACTAACTTGTACCTCTTCTCTCTGAGAATTGAACCACACTTGTACCAGCAAAAAATACTAGCATCTTCCATCACTATCAAACATACCCTCCATACTAGTTTACTGGCTACAGCCATACTTTTATTGTTCTACCAGGTCAAATTTTTGAAGATTTTGAAGCATAACTGCCACAAAACAGTAAAATCTGAAGTAAAAAAATGCTTAAGCCAGGCTCTGGTCTTCAGTTGCTAAGGAACTAAAACTGGCAGTGTCCAGAAGCCAGTATTGCATAAGTTCTGTTATCACTTCATCATTACTGCTGAAAGCAGTGAGGGCAGAGAGCACTATAGGTAATCCCAGAAGAAATATTTTGACTTGTGGGAGTAATTCCATAACGGAGGGGGAGAAGAGTCATTAGTGAAGTATCTTGATAGATTTACTCTTGAAAAACCAGTTAAATGCTTTGACTCAGCCTGCTGTACGTATCAATCCCACTATGAATTAAAAACTGAAAATAAATCATATTTGGCTATAACTAAAACTCAGTAATATCTTTAAACCAAATGTATTAAACTGCTCCAAGACATGGCCTTGAAGCAACGAAAGGCAAGGAACGTGACTGGGTAGTGTTTCCCATCCTATATATAGCCAGTGTTGTTTTCTGTTCTGCGTAAAAACAAAGTGTTGTGGTGTGATAGTTTCCAACACTGGACGAATGGTTGAAATAAACCAGAAATGCATTATCCAACACTTGAAAAATGTTGACCAGCATCCATGAAGCACATTTGTCCTCCCCGTGCAAGTATCCAATGCCACAAGAATTGAGAGTTGTATTTTAAGAGGTATCTAATTGAGAATCTTTGCTAATGACAAAGATTAAATGAAATACGATTTTCAGAAACAAGGGACCACCTTGACCTATGTCCTTTTTATTTGTCAAAAGAAGGTGCGTGTTCCCCAGCCTTTCCTAAAGCTGTGACGCTGCCCAGCCCTGTATTCCCTGTGTAGTGCCGTCCAATTTAAACAAACAAAAAACACCTTACCTATACAGCCTCTGGCAGTATGAACAGGGCAGAAAAAGCCCACAACCCACCAGGATTCAGCTGACGAGTCACCTACTTCTTCTCTCAGAGCTGTGCGAACAGCTCACAGGCGCCCCGAGTGTTGCACACCGCTCCTGGGCGTCCGAGCAACCGGTACCAGTTAACTAATGCTTCAGTGGAAAGAGAAGGGGCAGCCCACTACTAAATGAAACAAATCTTTTATTCGTGAGCATTGTTGTTTTAAATTCACAAATTATGAAAGGAAGGCAAATCAGAAGAGACTGCCAGAGCATCTTTTAAATGATAAAGGTATAAATTCTCTTTCTGAACATTTCTAATTTAAGAAAGAAAAAGGTTGCATAGGCTTTCTACAGGTGTGCACGAAAAAAAACCTGAAGTACATGGAGGTTTTTACATTACAATTCCGAGTGTACATTGGCTACTTGAAAATATTTACTTGCAAGTCCAAGACGGCTATTGGAACAACCTACAGAATAAGGCTTATGAATATTTACTTTTCAGTCCTGTAAAATATACTGAACACGTAACTATCAGAAAAATAAAATTACACTTGTGAATCTTGTTCGGGAATCTCTCGCTGATGGGATCTTTTCAGAAAGGCCTATTTTTACGTTTGCCTCTCCCAAGTTACTTTGGAAAAGAACCGGTGGTAATGGCATCAGGGGATTCTTCACAGCATCAGAACAAAACAAAACATTCATCAGAGCACAAGTGGAATGTTCTCGGCATGCAGAAACAACCAACCATGCAGACAGAAAAAATCTTCAATAAATTACAAGCATAAAATTATTCAAATTTCTCCTTAAAAGAACGGCTACGGCATCTTTGTAGCCTCGACAGTCATACCATCAAAGCTGAAAGAGGTCTACTCTTTCAGGAGCGCAGGCCTGCGTGCCTGACAGAGAGGTTTCCAATGGCTATTTTTACTGAGTATGTGGCTTGTTCTTTGGTGTGTGAAAGTCAGAGTTCTGGGAGGATGTTCCACGTGTTTAGTTCTGCGTTTTCGATTGTTCTTTGTGATGACACTACAGACTGGGTGAATACTTCTAGTTACTTAGCAGACTAACCTCTAGAACAAGAGTGGATCCGTTATAAAGCTAATTCTTGCAGGTGATAAAGTACACGTTTTCCTGATGATACTTGGTGGTAGTTCAGTGATTACTATGACAGTATCATTTTGGTTTCGTTCCAGAAAAACATCAACTATTCCTAAAAATAAGATTTTTTTTTTCCTTTTTAAAAAAAAAGTGTCAGTTACAAAACCAAGCTCATACAGTCCACATTTTTTTTTTTAAATAGGATTTAAATCATTTATAACATGAATCTTTCTGATGTGCAAAAAAAGTACGTACAAGCAGACAAAATAGCATTTAGGAGGAAAAGGAGCCACACCTTCATTAAATAGGGATCTGAAGTTCAAATGTAAAGATCTATTAAATATTATGTCTGAATGAAGAACTAACGACATGTTTCCTTGTGTACACACCTCTGTTTAGCCTTCTGAGTCGCTCAAGAGATTTTAAAATCTACCAAAAAAATAATTATAAAATGCAGGACGCCCAAGAACAGATATAAGCAGTGCTTTGACCTAAATATATTTGTGTAATATCTATAAAGCGTAAGCTATTGTATTAAGAAAGCAGACAAAAGGCACAAAATTAATCAGTACTACAGAAAGGTAGGCATCCATGCTACGGTATGTTAGAAATATAGTGGTTTCTTTATGGGGCACTGCAAAAAGCAGCACTGAGCAGAAGTCAGCACATTTTACATGTGCCTTTTGTTGTCACTTCTCCCAAAAACATCTTCAACAAATACGAACTAAAAAGCAACGAAGCTTTAATGCACTTTTAGAATCTGCTCTCTTGGTGTCCCAGTGGTTACCCTTACAAAAGCAAGATCAAGCTTCAGGATTGACCGGGGCAAAAGGAAAAGAAATCAATACACAGGTCTGCTGGGAGCCTTAATGCGGAATTAAGGGCTCTGACCGGATGAGCTCGGTCTAATTTTCCAGAGCCACATAGGGAACGTGCCTCTCGGCGGGTGGGGAAGGCTCACGCCCGTCACAGGAGGCCAGGGCACCCCCCCAGCCTCACCCGCCTCAATGCACACCCCGGCATTTTAGCGTGAACGCCATCAGCAGTGGTTTAATTTAAAAGGCAAGGCTGTGAAGTGGGGTGCCTCAAGCACAGCCCGACGGCGTGCTATGCCTCTCTTAGGTGGGGGAGGAAAGCTGAGGCAAGCGCGAGCCGGAACACTGCAGCTACCTCTGCCAGAAGGGATTTAGCGGAACACGTAGCCCAAAAGCATTGGCGTGACGGTAGCCAGAGAACATTACACAGCAAGATCAAAATTACCAGAGCAGCTGGCTCACCGGTGACCAGAGCTCTATTAAACAGCTGGAAGTATGAACAAACAAAAAAGAGGACGCAACGGGTTAGCGCGAACGATGTTCTTGAGAAGGTATTGCTACTTCTTATGAGATGGCAGAAAATTTACACTCGTAAGTGACAGGAAACATGCTCTTAAATCAGCATCCTGAAGAGTGAGCGCGCTGTCAGTGTATCATTCTTACGTCAAAGTGAGTTACTCAATGACTGTTTAGACAGAATGACTGCCGTTAAGTGACATGTCACATTTTAAGTGCAAAACATTTTTGGCAAAAGTGAAAAATAGAAAAACCTTAACCAGTACTAATAAAAAAGTATTTTCTTAAATACTAGCATAGGGCCTGATCCTGCAAGCACACAACTCGGGGAACCCCAGCTGAGTCCAGCCGGAGTTCCGTGCCCTAACACTTAGAGGAAAAGGTCTTTAAATCACTGTTAAGTGTTTATACTTGTTTACATGTAGTGTAAATAATCCACACACAAACACATACACACTGCGTGTATGTATGTGTGTATATATGGACGTGTGCGTGTGTGTGTGCGTATCCATACACACAAAATGGCTCCTGAATAAACGTGAGCTTGTGGTTATTTTCAGATGCATCGTTCACAGTATATAGCTTCTCGTTTGTATCTTCTGATAACAGGACCTATTCAATGACATCTTGAAGTTATATACTATATCATTTTAATGCCTTTAAGGTAAAGTTACGAGGCAACTGCTCTTCCCGTCAATGGGTCTTCCAGAGAGGATTCAAGTATAGCCAACCATCGCCCTGCAAGAAAATTAAGGAGAGTTAACAAACAAGATTTGTACATGCTGGATCTGTGGATGTCCACATAAAAGCTAAAATAATACTCATCAACACAAGAAACCACCCCTGTCATCTGAAAATCCTGTGCTTAATGAACGTACGGGTAATCTGGGCGGGAGGGAAAAAATTACAAAGGGGAAGCGATGGGAAGATGCAACAGATGAACTGCTGGTTAAATAGTGGCACATACTGGCTAATGAAACAACACAGTCACGTAATAGTTCATTCAGTCTTATTTTCCTTTCCCCTTTCCTCTAAGAAAGGGCAAGGATGAACTTAGTAAAATCTGTTTCATTTCAAGCAGATGAAACCCAAGACTGTGTTTAAGATGCCCATGCTTACTTACATTGGACAAATATCCCTCGATTGTGTTCACTTTAGTATGCCGAGATCAAGATTAGCAGGGGATGTGCGTACACGGCATTTGCAAATTAAGTTGTGGCTTTTAAGGTAAAAAACCATAGCTTTAAATGCCTAATATTAGGTATCAAAAATTCAGGTTAAAATTAACTGAAGTGAACAAGTTTACAATATGGACATGGAAAAACCCATTGCTTTTCTTTAAGAGCCAGACTCTGGCAAAAATACTTTAAAGCAATCAGTGGTATATAATGGCAGTAGCCCATGGTAAAAACCACAGACAAATTCATTTGTGCTGGCATCCTCCTGTACGCAGAAACATGCTATCGGGTCTTTAAAATAAGACAGTAAAAGTACCTCTTTGGCAAAATATTTTGGTTTCCACGGTGTTGTAAGAGCCACACGTTGCCTCTCCTCTGCGCGCTGCCTCTCTTCAAGGCGGTGCTTGTGTTCTGTTGCTGCATCAATATTCCCTTCCTTCAGAGAACTGGTGACGTGTTGCCACAGGTGCCTGCGTGACGGGGAGGGAGCACAAGCGACAGCGTGAGAAGGCTTCTGCCGCAGCCGAGCGCCTGGCTGGACAGCAGCACGGTGAGCGGCAGGCCCATGCCGTGTTCTCCGTGCCATTTTTGCAAGTCAGACAGCTTGTGAACCATCACTCTCCTAGGGTATTCACTGCATTTCTCGACCGCATTTTCAGATTTGCTCAACTCCCAGTATTTTGCTATGCGAGTTAACTTTCTCAATAGCTTTTGTTCATCTGCCTGACTCTTTACAACCTGAGCTTTTTTCTCAAGGCAGATGGATTTATTTTTATCATTTCCTGTTCACGTTCTTTACCGATGATCCACCCCCAATGACATGCGTTTATTTGCAGTTAAATTTTTGAATTATAAGGGAATGTTAGCCTAAAGCCAAGAGTACATTAAATTGGGACACTGACTGCTCCCCAACCAGGTTACTAACAGAGGAACTGATGCACTGGTTCTAGGGAGCCCTTCTAGGTCTGTGCTCCATATTCCCAGTTAACAATAATTATCAGTATATAACCAAGCTTGTTTTTCACACGACTGACCGCATTCAGATGCAACGCCTTCTCACACCGTATTAGCCTAGCAGGAACTTTGCCCAGAAAAATACTGAGAAGCAGCCAACTGCAGCTTTCACGTATTTCCAGGGCTGTTTAAATGAGTTTGTTTACAATCTGATAAACTGCATATCCTGCAGAAACACTGGATAGTTGTAATTTGCTTACTAGTATCCAAAAAATACTGTAAATACACTGCAGAGCTACTGGTTTCCTTATTTACTCCAGCCTTTCTATTCCTAAACTGCAGGGGGAAAATGAATTTGTGATAAGCAAGCGTGTCTAGAAAGTAGGAAAATGATATCTGACCCTGCACAATGACTCAAGACACATCTTTGTACCATAAAGAACATATTTACAGATAATAAAATGAAGCTTCAGTCATGTTTTTAAATCCTCCAATAAAATGTTCCTAAATTCAATAAAAATACTGATTTTTCTGAAGATAAACATCAACAGTAATTGACAGTGAGTAACAGAACAAGTTTTTTTTCCAATGTACCTAGTCAGAGTCAGGCATGTGATGTGGGTGCGGAGAGCCTTCAAACCATGTGTTTGTGTGCATATTTATAGCTCGCACTGCATCACATTTTACATGTTTTTATACATATATACATTCTAAAATACACAAAATGTGGAATTCCAGTGCAAATTATAAGATGCAACATCACTTGCAACAAACTGACTGATCTGACTACCATGTTACAATCACTCAAAAAAGCAGGTGAAAACAATGCATTACCATTTTCCAAACGCTCATTAAAACGCATACAAGGATTTTCCCCCCTCTACAAAACTGAGGTACGTCACTAGAACGTAATCTATGTTCCAACGAACCAATACACAGCTTCAGCTATCTGTGCCTAGATTAACGCGCTGTAGGAAGCAAGGCATTTTTGAACCACACCATCTATCTATAACTGCAGTTTGCTTCCCCGTTCTGTTCCCACCCAAGGTTCAGAAGCAAAACATGGTAATGCCTCTGCCCTTACCTTGATTCCAGCGGGCCTTGCTTTGCTATCGGCCTAATCTTTTTCCTGATAACAGGCAGTTTGTTAGTGTCAATCACTTTGGTTTCTCCGTTGCTGTAAGTAAATTCCAGTGTACCGTTCCATTCTCCCTGTGCCTTGCATACAATGGTGTTAGTGGGATTATGTTTCACTTCGGCTGTAACCCTAATTCAAGAGCGAAGAAAAAAAGACCACAGAAATAACTGGTACCATTTATTATCAGCATAGGAAAGCACTACCACAGCTAAGGCTACAAGCAGCTTTCTACATCTACAAAGTAATTTTTCAAGCAAAGTAGTGATGCTATCTCCAAAAAGAGAGACTCAACCTAAGCAAGCTCTGCTAACACAGCAATAGCTTTTGGACGACATTCTCCCAAAGTACAGCAGTAACCCAACTTAAAACTCTGATAGTCAGCTTTAACCCAGAACGGTTTACCTCATCAGCCTGAAAAACAACTCCTGACATTCACCTGACATTTTCAGTACACATGTTATTTTCACACCTGAACATAGTAATGCTGTCAGATACCTATGTCAAACACTTCAGGCACCTTTATTTTCTCCTTAGCTCTGCAAGTTTACTTCTCAGCTGCTGAGAGGCAACAATTAAAGATACCTCAGTCGTCCAAGAACTGGTCTGAGAGTGAGCAAAATAGATAGGTAGGACTGAAAAAACAAAATGCAGGCAGAAGTTTCGTGTGTGTGTGTCTAAGAACATGCACACATGCGCTTCGGCAAGCCATGTCAAGTAATCTGTAAACTCAATTAAGTTTTTAAATTATTAAACTAACACAGCACAACCTTCCCCAAGTTTCACTCACACTGATGGCACCAATTATTAACCCATGCCTTTTAGAAAAACCCTTGTCAGAACAGCCCACGTTGATATTTGCCTAAACACAATATTGAAATGATTGACATGTGTATGATAGAATAATTAGACCGACTGAAATAAAACAGAGGTAACCATGCAAAAAGCACAGCCTTCTCATGGACAACTGCTACAGTCTGCAGCAGAGCAAGAAAGGGTCTGTGTACGTTAACAATTGGGTCATCAACTTGAGCATGGAAGTAAGACAGGAAGCTATCTTGCACAGTGCCTCTTCACACCCTTAATAAAGGGGAACCAAAAACACATAAATAATATTTTCATCATCTGGAATTTCAGTGCAGAAGTGGGAGTCCCCAGTAGGGAGCTACTGCTATGGGCAGCGACACTCGCTTCTTTCTTCCTTACAGGAACTCCACCTGGAACACCAGTTCATCTACAAGACTTACACAGAAGCAGCAGCTGGTGTAGCAGAAATACTGCCTTTTCTACGTACATTTTTCTGATCCTGCACTTAAAAGTAATTTTTACAAGCAAAGCCTGGAAGAATACATTCACTTTAGTTTAATGAGAGAAATATATTCAATTCAATTAAATGATACAAAATGTATAGTTACAATAAACTGTGCTCTAAAGCTGTAAGTCATCTCAGACACTAATAGGAAAAGAAATTCAGATATCTGTCTGTAAAATACTCTGACAGAAGAACCAAACAGATGCCCAAGAGTCTTTCCATTGAAATCCAGTAGCAGGTAAACAAGAATAAGACAGTAATTCCTGTACCTGTGGACTTTTCCTCCATAGAACGGCTTGGTGTGGAACGTGACCGTAGCAGAATAGCCCGTTCTAGCACAATTGATGTTGACTTTCCCTCCAAGCTCCACCCATGGGATGGTAAGTATTGAGCGAGCATAGGCACTAGGCAGCGTGAAAACATACTCTTCTTCATGTTCCATCAAGTAAAGAACACCTACGTAGGAAGAAGGTTGGAAGTGAAATGATAAAAGTTCACTGACAAAACCTGACAGTCACTGACCAATTACTGTGATCAAAACGTACTTCCACAGAGAGTACAACGTGCAACTTGCCTTGAAGGAGGGCACTGTCTGCTAAGAAAAAAAAGTCTGCCCTCTGGAACAAATGTCTTCAAAAAAACATTTTCGAAAGCACACAATTTGAATATGTACCCTGGGGTCCTTCACGGTACCAAATGGCTTATAAAATCTGACTGGATTATTTATTTTGTGTTACTGACAAGCAATAAACTGTTAAATCTGGAAAAAAATACCATTTGCTTGCAAAAAGCCATACTGAATATTCAGATGCTCACTCAGTGTCATATCATCATCTCTTTCCAGAAAAAATACGGGCATGGCCAAAGGACTCTTCAGTTCTCCACTCAATCAGACACGACCAGGTCCTCTCTGCTAATTTCTTACTGATGCATTTGTTGGTAGGAGTGAAAGGCTCTATCTAGGTCTGCCTGGGTGCAACTAGGAAACATGCTTAAGGAAGCCATCTAGAAAATTCCTATAAGTTTGCTCCTTCATTTCCAAATGCCTGGTTTCCACACAGCCTTTGCAAAAGTCCCGCATAATCAACGAGGGGCCGCCAGGGCCACTGCTCTGTTAACCACCAAGACCGATGTCTCTACCATGCAGAGAAAATTACTGGCAATTCTGTTTCATTCTGCAAAGGTTCCTCCACCCTCATGTGTTACAGGGTTGTAAATAAAAACAACATCATGCCACAGCAGTAATTTTTCAAGATTATTTGGAACTACAAAGAAAGTCACATGTCTGATCAGATCTTAGCTTCCCCTGGGCTTAAGGATACAGCTCTCTCCCCACCATAGCTGTAGTTTGGTCTTCAGAATGACAAAAACCAGGACATAAGACCAGGTAAAGTGTACCTTAAACCTTGCACACACAATTGGATCATGCCAAGTATCTCTAATATATTTTTGATTAGAGTTTTACACTCTTCCGTGTCCCGTTTAATAACTGCCTAAAGGCAAAAATTACTGCTTTGAAAATAATTTTTCACAACAGGGATTGAAAATAACCCATCACAGGATGCACTCAGAACACAGAAATATTTAACCAAAAAAAAAAAAAAAAATCAGGAAAATGATCTTGAAATAGTAATAGTATCTGTTTAGAAACAAGATGAGCTTGAGCCAATTTGCCTTAACCTT